AAAAAAATAACAATTCTACAACATATAAAATAGTTAGAAAAAAAAGAATATATAGAAAAAAACATAAAAAATAATAAACGCACTCATTTCTAACATAATGAAAAAGAGTTAAGATAAAAATATTAAACAGATAAGAAGAATTGCAAAACGCATAAAGTTACATCATTCCATATATTTTTTGTTAAAAATTACAAATTATTATTTTATATTCAAAGAAAATTAATATTTCGTGTAATATTTCGCGACGCAGGAAATTTTAATCTTATTTTTTTTTGTGTTTTATTTTGATTTTTGAACGCTAATTGTTTCATTATTGCGTCGTATTATTTCCATCCAATACAATGCGATATCGTGAAGTATATAGAATAATAAAGCGCGAATCTTTTAAAAATGTCAAAGAAGTCATCTGATTACGCGGAAGCTGCCGCAAAAAAAATTATTATCTACATGATATTTTAGATATCAGACTGGTAAACGATAACGAAACAAGATATAATTCTTCTAATATCGCTTCGATATTCTGATAACGATATGGATTACGTAAATAGTACATGACATTCCAATGTAAAAATGTGACAGCATATGTTGATTAATCGATACGATTTATTACAATTTATGTGCATTTGCAAAATTTCTCCTTTGTCTGTTAGATATTCGACAAAATATTCTGTTAAATAATATAAATAAGATAAAATAGAACCTTAATCGAAAGCATATTATTACCTGACATTATCAACAAAAGTATTATCTTTGATTTATACTAGACAATGCGATGTTAATAATAATAATTTATTGTAACAAAGTTTATTATATAATTTTATTGTACAAAATTAATAGTTTATTATAACAAAGTTTATTATATAATTTTATTGTACAAAAACAATCTTCTTTTTCTCTTTTTCTTTTTTTTCTGTTATTTTGTGTTATCTAAAATAAACTTTCACCTTTTATACGAATGTAGCATGCAATGGAGATTAATCTCCATTGAATTCCGGGTAATTTCTGTTTATGTCACTGCAAGTTTGCTATAAGCTATCCATAATGTTATACTTTCATAAACTATTGCAAATCGTTCGTGTATCAATAATACAAATCGAGACTTTACGTATATTGAAATGCGCGACACGGAAAGAACAATTTTGCTGTAAGATTGAAAAATTTGACTAGAAAATTAATTATCTAAAAAATTAATTTTGTCGATCAAAATTATTGTGTTACGTCTAAATATGATGAAAATAGTGCAAATTTTGTTATATTCTCGCAATTAAATTAATTTAAACGTCCTATCCTATATAATTATTTAAATAGTTTAATATCATTTCTCATTGTCAGATTTATATCAAGCAAAACTGCTCTTTCCGTGAATATGCTTACTGAAATCAAAGTAAGCTAAACACCTTATTCTGCACTCGTATGTGTATTTGCTCTAAATTTCTATGTACATTTCAAAGAAAAATAAATTCAGACGAAAGGAACCTCTCTCAATTATCGATTATTTTATCACAATAATCGCGCTGTGTCAATATTTTCTTACAACGTTATGCTTCTTAAATTATCATACGAAATTGGTGATAGGAAATATCCGTTCCACATTTACTCCGTTATTTGATAATTGTCGAAACTGGGGTAATATGTTCCCAAAATTTTTTTATCTGGTCAAGAGAATCA